TCCTGCCTCATTCCTGTGCCTAAGACACCGCCTCCTAACGGCCCTCAGGACTACAGGCCGGTGGCACTGACGTCCCTTATCATGAAGACCTTTGAGAGGCTAGTTCTGGAACAGCTAAGACCTATGGTCAGACCCTTCATGGATCCACTACAGTTCGCCTACCAGCCCCGCCTGGGAGTTGAGGACAGTATCATCTACCTGCTGAACAGAGTCTGCACTCATCTGGACATCCGGCTAGCACTGTGAGAATCATGTTCTTTGATTTTTCGAGGGCTTTCAGCACCATCTGTCCGGCTCTACTGGATGAGAAGATGACGGCGTTACAGGTGGATGCCCCCATTGTGGTATTACCTGAAGGGCAGACCACAGTATGTACGCCTGCAGAACTGTGTGTCTGACAGGGTGATCAGTAACACCGGGGCCCCTCAGGGGACTGTCCTCTCTCCCTTCCTCTTTACCCTCTTCACCTCAGAGTCCTGCCAACTTCAGAAGTTTTCTGATGACTCAGCAATAGTTGGCTGCATTGAAAGGGGCGATGAGAGTGAATATAGGACTGTGGTGGGGAACTTTGTCACTTGGAGTGAGCTGAACCATCTGCAGCTCAATGTGACAAAGACAAAGGAGCTGATAGTGGATCTGAGGATGGCTAAAACACCTGTGACCCCTGTTTCCATCCAGGGGGTCCCTGTAGACATTGTGGAGGAGTATAAGTACCTAGGGGTGTACTTAAATAAAAAGCTGGACTGGACAAGAAACACCAAGGGGGGCTACAAAAAGGGCCAAAGCTTACTCTTCTTCCAGAGGAGGCTGAGGTCTTATAACATCTGTCAGACGATTCTGAGGATGTTTTATGAGTCTGTTGTGGCCAGTGCGATCTTCTTTGCTGTCACATGCTGGGGCAGTGGGCTGAAGGCCGGACAACAACAGACTAAACAAATTGATCAGGAGTGCTAGTGATGTCGTAGGGGAGGAGTTGGATACTCTGACGACCGTGGCAGAGAAGAGGGTGCTGTCCAGGCTTCAGTCCATCTTGGACAATGTCTAACACCCTCTCTACGACATATTGGCCCAGCAGAGGAACTCCTTCAGCAGAAAACTCCTCTCACCCAGATGCACCACAGAGTGCCACAGGCAATAATTCCTGCCCGTGGTCATCAAACGCCTCACTCCGAAAATCTTTTTGCACCTTATTATTTATCATTATTTAGTCTGATCTGATTCTGATTTACACAGTCAGTCATGGCATCCTTCTGTCTGTACTCTTTAGCATGGGCATTGGGATTTTCTTTTATGTAGCGTATTGTCAGGTTGATGCTAACTGTAAAGCTGTCGCTGCATAGTAAGTTGCTTTGGATAAAAGCGTCTGCTAAATGCAGAAACAGAAACATCTCTGTGAGCTATTAAAGAATAAGCCACTGAGTTAAACTGCAGAAGCTTAATAACCAGTTTAGTTAGTGGTTTGACTAAACATTTTTCTGAAAAAGTTTTCTTACTTAAGATTTACCAGTTGTCACCAATGTACAGCCATATTCTGCATTCCTGAGCCTGAATTTCTGTTTTCTTTATGAATGGCTGCAGTCAGTCGTTCTAAATATTTTGTTATCATTCAGTGCTTTGGGTTTAAGTTACATTAGGTTGCATTGGTTTGAATTTCAGGACTTTGTATGAACTTTCATCATGTAGCATGTCCTTGTTGATTTTCTTTGCGTCTAATGCGTCTTTTGACCAAAGGCATCTTTTTTTTTTTTTCGCATTTGCATTGCTTGTTTGGATGGGCTTCTGTATATTGATGCTGGTTGGTACTATTCCCTTATTCTGGCAGCAGAAATATCAGCTACATGGGAAAATGAAAGAGACTAGAGACAAATTGAAAATAAACTGAAAATCTTCCAATGTACAGCACGAATATTTGGACTACCACTGCTTTTGTATACCTGCAAAGGATAAGCCATACATGCATTCATATACACAAACCAATAAATACACACAGTTACACACACAGGTCCCTTTGTTTAGGATGACATCATCAGAAAAATGTAATAAGAAAAGTGATGGGGAGGATCAACCACTTGAAAGTTGCCATCTATTTTACAGTTTGTAATTACCTCTGGAATCAGCTTTTAAGTCTTCCTTTACCAATAAGGAGGCAAAAAGTAGATTTTAAATGAATCCTTTACAGACAGCCTATCAGAGAATGTGTTCAAACCAGAAATCTTCAGTCTTCATTGATCTTAGTCTCTCTAGACACACATTCACAACAGGGGGAAAAGATAAGACTCTAATATTGATTTCTTGCATAACACACTTTATTCATACAAAGAGAAATATTTTCCATTGACACACATTAAAGAGGTATAAATTACCTCGAAGGTTGAGCCAAAGTTAACTGTCAGGATGTGTTTCTGGGATTGCCTTTTCAGCCAAACCACTTTACAGAATCAATGGCCCGAATAAAAAGCTATTAATTGACCTTCCAGTTCTCAGTGATGCAGCAGTATCACTTAGCCCCACACACAGTGAACTGTTGGACAGTATTTACCTTTCTGTACCCTGTTCTCACTTTAAATGTCCACTATGACGGGTTTTGTTGCTTCTAGAGGCATAAATAGCAAAATTATGCCAAACCTACAGTTTTGGGGTCGCAAGCAGAATCCTAGCTGGAGAAAATGTAGCTTACAGCTGAGGTTCTGTGTTAATTATCATTAGCTCTTTCGTGTTGTGGAGTAGGTTTTCTGTACTGTAGATCAGGTCTGTCAAACTGGGCCACAGAATAGGCCAAAATTTGAAAAGCAGTCCAGGGTCGAACAGGATTAACATCTATCAAACAGTCTAAAACACACAGACCACAATAACTTGATCCTCCTTGAAATGAATAAAATCTAAAACAGTTTTTTCTATCACAAAGTAAATTATTATGATTTTTTCAAATATGAACAAGGTGTCAGGAGCGTGGATTTCAAGGGAGGACTCAGATGCGGAGAACATCGGTTTCCAAAGGTTTTATTTGAACAAAAAACACACTCAAAAGGAGTGGATGGCAGACATGGTTCAAAAACAAGGCTGAGACAAAAACTATGAACAAAGTATCAAATCAAGATTAACCAGACTATGAACAAACTATCAAATAAAGTGAACAAAACTGTGGCAAAGTATCAAAACAAGACTATGGCAAAAATACTAAATAAGGTTAACAGGACTATGGCAAGGCTGTGACAAAAATAAGACTATGGCACAAAAAACAAGACTGTGGCAAAAGTGCAAAACTCAAAACTTCATATGGAGAGCAGTGACGAAAACACACTGGCACAGGACATGGGAAACGAGGACTATTTAAACACATGAGGGAGGGGAACCCCAGGTGTACACAATAGGTGATCAACACATGACAACACACCAGACACTCCCCCAGACGTGACACAAGGTACTGAAAATGTACAAATCTGTCAAATAAAAAAAAATGGTGAAGTGATTTGAGAATTAAGTAAACAAAAACAAAAGCTTTAAAGCAAAAAGCTTTCACAGCAGATTCATTCTGTGACTTTGGTTTATGAAACAGTCACCTGAGACATGATTTCATTTGAAACTCTTTGCCAGCTTCCCTCTGAGTCCAGATTTTTATTCTATTTTCTCAGAGCTGCCAAATGGTAAAATATTCCTTAAATGTGGTTACAATAGCTCAACCATCAGGTTTAACTCCAACTTTGACTAGACAGTTAATGTCTGATGTTATCAAAGCACATAACTGGTCAAAAGTAGACCACAGCTTGAAATGTGTCACTTTTATTTTCAAAAAGAACTTGAAAAGTTGCATGTTTCCAAATGGTAACAGCATGCAGTTGAGGATTTAGCTGTCTCTCAATACCAAATATACTTGGAACATACTTCTACATTTTCTAGACTAGTTTAAGAACATGTACAAACCCCTGAGGACTTAAGGACACCAGTATACTAATTGGAACAGAAGTTGGAACAGAAGTGTTCTTGATTCCGCCAAAAAACCTTACTGCGAAGAAAAAAAAAGAGGGGAGAGAAGGAGAAGAGGAAGCTGAGCAGGGAGATATGGGAGCCATGTGTCAGGAGCATGAGGCTCCAGTGGAGGAAAGATTTAATATGTACAGTATAAAGGCCAGAAGTATCTTTAAGTGCACCTTTAGCATGTTTAAATCTGTTGAGATCCATTTTCCTCCAGACCCTGGATGAAACTCAGCCCGTCCCAGGTTGTAAGAGTCTTCCCTTTCCCACCTGATGACCCTAGTGACACGTTGGTCAGGGATTATAGTGTAATAGTTTAAATTCAAACATTCACCAAGTCTGATCCATTTGTTTTGTAGTGCAAGTTTCTTGTTTACAAAGGTGTTTGGCATAGCACAAAACTCAGATTTCAGTTCTGCTGCCTTTATGCTGAAGGTTTTAAAAAAGAAAACCCCATGCTGGCACTTTCTGATTCAACCTCTCTATTTACTCTAATCTTTTCTTATTGTTAACATTATTTTGCTTGCTGTGATTGGACACAATGATTTTGGCTTCTATTTTCTCTGTGTACAACAGATCCACAGGATGGATTTGGACCAAGTAATGATTGGCATCCATACACATATAACATCTTTTAAAATATGTAGTCTTGATGAACAGAGATTATATTTTAGGAGTGCAATTACGGTAAGGGCAGAATTAAATGTTTTTTGCTATTTCACCCATTCCGTTGAATTAGCTTTATTTTTTTCAGAGAATGCTTATGCTCTCGACTTTGTTCAAAGTGAGCCTATAATCAAACTGATAGTACGTGTTTTTGCTCTCGTAGTTGGCTGCTTTGGGCTCCGAGGCTGCTTCTTAATGGGCCAAGGCATTGGATTTGTATTCAGCACCATGCCAACATCTGAAGACCCAGGAGATGGTGGAAAAGCGCTACAGACAGATGGCCACATCCACAGGACTCACGGCGTTACCTGAGATAGCCCCATGCTTGAAGCACTAAAACATTTGGAAAGGACTGCTCACACACTCTTTTGCATGGCCGGCAGCAGTTCTTCAGAGGACTGAGAGGCCTGTGAACAGTAGATGGGCATCATTAGACCCAGCGCTGACGTCAGGGCCAGGATGTCCAATACTCTCATGTGAGCGTTTACTTTTGCCTCTGTTTCCGTTCAGTGGATGAAAGGATGGTAGCATTAATTGATCACGGAGATGTCTTTGTCAAAAAGAGAAGGAAAAAAAAGTGCCATCTGCCAGCTTTCAAACGACTGAGTGATTCATGTGGCAATTTCCCTTTGACTAAAGCTTTAATGCTTGTAAGTGCATCTGGATTCATGCGTTTATTTTTCTATTCAATTTATTTGAATGGCAGCTAGCACAAAATAAGACTGTCACATCAGAGACAGCACAGAAAACTTGGATGTATTTGAGGAGGTGTTATTAACAAATGAACAAACAAACCAGAATAAACAGATACACAAAATATAAGACAATAATGTTTCAAATACTGAGGAAAAAGACCAGAAATCACCAGAAATTAACTGGCTTTGTGGCTGTTTCTGTTCTGTGGCTTCTAGTGAGCTGCCTTGACTTTTACAGAATCACTATGGAGACTGAAACCTACTTTTCAGCCGGAACTTCCCATGTTTTTCCTCAAAAGGCTGTAGTGTGTCAACTGTTTGATTGATGGAGGATAATTCTCCATCATCTAGGCACAAAGCCCCGAGGTCCACAGAAGCAAACGAAATGCAGCGCTTGTAGTAAATAAAACTCCAAAAGCCCTTACTTTTCTTTTGCATGCATCCATTTCACAACCATGTTTATTCATTTGAACACCCTGAACAGAAACAGTCTCCACAAATCTCCACATCTCTTCCCTCTGTGCATAGTGGACCAGAGGGCTCCTCCGGAGACATCTGTCTCCATCCGGCAGCAGCCCCTGACACCGCGCTGTCCTCTTCCATCCGCCTCGTTATAAACGCCCGCGCTTTAACCTGAGCCGTTTCCCAAGGTTTATCGTGTTGCCACGAGTCCTTACCAGTCTGCGGCAAACATCACAAATCACGTCCCGTCTGTTTGTGGAGCTGAAACAGCCGTGTTGTCTGCTGACTGAGTGACTGACTGAGCAGCGTTTGCTAGCAATAACACAGTACACTGCATGTCATGTGGACAAGATCTCTATAGTTTAGCTACTTTCCTCTGTGTTCCTGTTAAAGATATGCATCATCTTAACCCTATAATGCCAAATGTGTCATATTTGATACATACGGTTTCTGAATTATTTGGGATCTGAGACTTTGTGCATCATTCAGTGGTAAAAGCTTTGCTCAAACCCCTGTTGTACACATTCGGATATACCTGATAACAGCCAGTAGAAGACTACACCAACATATGTTTTTGACTTATTGCACGCTAATTTGATCAAAATCATTTCTGTTTTTTTTCTTCATATGTTGTTGAGGGGGCAAAGAAAGACTTCAGACTAAAAAAATCCAATATTCTTCCTATTTTTCTTGGATCAGGCTTTAAAGGGTTATTTGACTGAAATATAAAAAGTATTGATATTTTAATTTTAATCATTCAAATTTAGAGCATAAAGCTCTGGTATTGGGGGATTAATTTGTCAGTATCAGCATTGCTACTATTCATAGCATGCAGTCTGTTTTGGGGTTTTCAAAGGTAATGCAACTGTCCATCTTTTGTCATTTTTTCTTCTGGGCAACATCTTATTTGGATCATTCTCTGTAAACCCTTGTGATGGATCAGCAGTTTCTGATCTACAGGAAATTAATTAGATATTGTAATTTGAATGGCCCATTTGGCACCAACAACCATGTCATGTAAAGGTTTTTACCAGGTCACATAAGTACCCAGTCTTCCTCATTCTGAAGCTTGGTTTGCATCTTAGTCCTGTCCTATGGTCTCTGAACAGCAGATTTAATCAGAATCAGTGTGTCTACAAGCACCCATCTTAGTGGGGCTATATCAGTAACGGGCGGCTAAACAAGTCAAGGAATCTAAAACGTCTGAGGCTACTGAATAAAACATTTTCTTTTTGTATAATTATTCGAAAGCAAATATTATAATGTATCATTTCAAAACCACAGAAATGTCAGAAATAATATGCCATGGATAATTTGATGAAAAAACAAAAAAGGTCCAAAAACCTAGAAATAGAGAATATGCCCATTGAACAGTGCAAATGGCATCTTAGCTTGACTATTTTCATGATATACTCAGTTTAAGATCTGATCTATCTTTCTTTTTTGGCCACTGCAAAAATAAAAATAAAATCAACAGCACTGGAAGAAATGTGAGCAGCCAAAAATTCCGGCTGCTTTGTGCAGAACTTTGACATGTTGACAGCCTTTTACAAAGGAGCACATGTGGGTGTGTTCAGATTAAACAGACACGGGGCTACAGTGGAAGCAAGTGGCACTAGAGTGATGCAAAATGGTGGAAACCAATCAAGGCCTGAATTTAATCATGTCATATCACACTAAAACTAGTGTGGCCAATGATTCTGACGGCTAAACTATCACAATATGGATTCTAATAAGAAAGACTTCTGAATAATTTCCTCCCTAGTCTGGGATGTGCTATAGAATTTTAAAACAAGAAACAGGAAGAAAAAAAAAAGGTAGATGGAAATAGAAGTCTGAAAATGAATTCAGTGCTTCAGTCATAGTCGTGTTGATTGAGATGTGAGCACGTCCAACTCTGGCACTTCATATTCAGCTCCAGGGTCTTATCTGAAATTAGAAAAAAAAGGCCCTCTCTCCTCAGCTCTGAAGTTTTTCTAAGCCACTCAAATTGTTCCATTTGCAGCGTGTGGCGCTAAAGGAGGCTTTGATTTTTTGGCTTTGCTTGTCACTTTGGGTTACATGCTGGTTGATCTAAAGGCGACGGCAGAACAACACTGCCACTCTGTTCGAATTTCTCACTCTTCTATTTCAGAGTCTGATTCACTCATTATTGACTGTTGCACAACCCAAATGATTGGCTAATGGTGTAAGACTTCGGCTTAAGCTTAGGAAGATGGGATGAGGTGGTCCCTTAATTTTTAAATCTATCTGTCTATTTCTGAGGATTATTGTGTTTCTATTCGAACTGACAAGCTACGGTGCTGTTCTGAATGCATGATTTGTCCTTTAAATTTAAACCACACTGGGTAAAAAAGCGTCAGATAAAGTCAGATAAAACATGATAGGAGCCAGGGAATAAATATGTTTGTACAGGTGTTTTTCTATGGCGCTACACTTGCCCAATAGTGTTCTTTGTGAACTCAGGGGAAAATGATTTCTCATACACCAGATTAGATCATGTGATGTGCTTTGTTTCTATACTTGTAAGAGCTTGTGGTCACGCATTTGAAATGAAAAGATTGTCCTTACTGTGATATCAATGCAGGGGTACTCGTGTGCAAGCAGGAAACAGAGTTGGCTAAACAAAAAGCATAAAGTCAACTAAATCTTTTGCTGGTATTTCAAATTCAGAAAACATGAGCCCATGTGGTTCTCCGACACTCCCACGATCACTCCCACAAAACATTAACTGGAGCAAGAGGAGATCATTGATTAAGTGTTGTTGGAATCTCTAAGAGGAACTGACCTAAAAGACTTACGCTTCCTGTTCCAATTGGTCTGAGGGGTCTGGGTTTTTCACATTGTACAAGTATATCAGATAAGTATTTAGGCTCAAGAGCATTGAGAAATAAGATTTTTAGTTATAATTTTATTTAACATTTGACAAACAGTAAGCCAGTGCAATGACCTAAGCATAGGTGTAATGTTCTCCACTCTCCAAGTGTTGGTCAGGACTCTGGCAGCAGTGTTCTGAATGAGCTACGGTTTATTTCTTTCAATAAACTTTAAGTAAACTTTATTACTCAGACTGGAAAAAACCCAATTACAAAAGTCCAGCCTGCTGAAAATGAAAGCATGAACACATTTCTCTGCATCTTCTTAAGACAGAAATCCTTTAATTCTTCCTATGTTTCTAAGGTGGTATGAGGCTGATTTTATGATAATGTTTCTGTTTCTGCATTTAGTCGACACTTTTATCCAAAGCAACTTCCAATGCAGATACAACATTACAGTTACTATAACATGTTAGAGGCACCAATGGTGACAGTGTACACATAGAGGTTATTACAGAAAGAGTATTCGAGGGGGGGGGGGGTTCAGGGTAAGAGTAAGGGGAGGAGATGCTCTCTGAAGAGCTGTGTCTTCCAGAGTTTCTTGAACATAGACAGGGATGACCCTATTCTTGTAGCTATTGGTAGGTCATTCCACCATGATGGAACGGCACATGAAGAGTCTGGATTGGTGTAGGCACTGCTAGGAGACAATCCATTGCTGACCTTAGTGACCGAGTTGTGGCATAGGCCTTAGCAAGAGAAATCAAGTAGATGGGAGTCTTAATCTTAAGCACTTAGTGGCTTGAATTTGAGGTAGCCAGGTGAGGTTGGACTTTTTGAGCTGTTTGAAGACCAGACTTGCCACCATGCGTCAGGTTTTACAGTAAAGACTGGTAGACCAGTCAAAAGAGGATTGTAATAATCAAGGAGGCAGATTACCATAGACTGCACCAGGAGCTGGGTGGCATGTTGATTTAAGTACAGCCTCTTCTTTTTTTCCATGCCTGTCTTTTGTTAAAATGTTGTGTAATTGTGCTGGAGAGTTGTTACTTTTCCTTTGGTTTTTATCCTTATTCTGCTCAATTACACAATGAAATTGTTGTTATTTCTTAAATTAATTTATTCTTCTTAATCCTTTTGTGAAAGCTTTGAGTGTCCATTGTATATGAAATGTGCTTTACAAATAAACTGCCTTGCCTTACCATGAGGGAGGTTACATTAACACAATTCTATTGGATGAAATTCTTTTAAATTATATTCTTTCATACATAAAAGTAGTCGAACATACAATGGATGAATATCTGCTTGTAATTTCTTGAAAAATCCTTCAAACAGACACCAAATCATTTTTTACCAAAAATGTAAAAAAATTCCAAACTTTATACAACTAAGTAATTTTAAGTTTTCCATATGGTGACATAATCTGTCAAAGTGCCAGCTATCGCTGAGGCAAATGTTTAAAACTGTTTTCCATCGTTCCTTCTCTGGTACCCTGACAAAACA